TCCTTCAATGGCATTTTCATGAGGGAAATCTTTCCTGATTCACCCTAAAGAGAACATGCTTCATTCATATTCTCTATCACTTGACCATATTATTCTGTGCAGAAATTACTTAATATGCATATGTATTTATTTGTTTCCTTTGTGTGACATCTGACCCACTGAACTATAAGCTCTATGAGAGCAAGCATCATGTGGCTGTTCCTTTTCCAGGACTGAACAGCTCAATAAATGTGTTGAATGAAGTCATTTTTAAAAAGGCATTTTCTTTCATTTATTTATTTATTTTAAAGATGTGGGGTACAATTCAGGATTAGGCATACAAGTGGTCGTCATACAGGTAAAGTTTGGACTTCCCTTTGGTCCCCACTTTCCCTGGTTTGAGATCAGGTACCCTTATTGATGTTGTGTCCCCCTGCCTCCCCCATCCCCCAACAGTTTCAGGCTACTGCCAATTTCTTTCTTATAGTATTATGGTAAATATTCAGGGTCTGCTTATGAGTGAGGACACATGGTACTCATTTCTTTGTTTCTTTGATAAAGCACTGAGTATTATAGACACTAAATCCATCCAAAGTTGCTACAGAGTCCATAATTTTGCTCTTTATGGCTGTATAATATTTCATCATGTATATGTACCACATTTTTTTGATCCAGTCCAGTTTCGATGGACAGCACGGTTGCTTCCATGTTTTTACTCTTCTGAATAGTGCTGCAATAAACATGCTTGTGCAGATACCTTCAGTGTAGAGTGATTTAAGTTCCTCTCAGAAAGGGGTATATTCCCAGAAGGGGTATTGCTGTGTCCTATGGAAGGTCAATTTCTAGTTCTTTTAAGGAATCACCACACTGTTTCCCATAGCGGTTGAACTAGCTTGCATTACCACCAACAGGGTAGAAGTGTTCCCTTTTCTCCGCATCCTCGCTAGCATCTATTGTTTTTGTTTTATTAATGACAGCCATTCTTACTGGAATTAGGTGGTATCTCAGTGTGGTTTTGATTTGCATTTCTCTGATGCAGTGAGGCTGAGCAGTTTTTCATGTGTCTGTTGCCTGCTCATATGTCTTCTTTTGAGAAGTGTCTATTCATGTCTTTTGCCCACTTTTTAATGGGGCCGTTTGTTTTTTTCCTTTTGGCACATTTGAGTTCCTTGTAGATTCTGGATGTTAGGCCTCTGTCAGATATGCAGTTGCCCAATATTTATTCCTGTTCTGTGGGCTGTCTCCCTGCTCTCTTGATGGTTTCTTTTGCTGTGCAGAAGCTTTTCAGTTTGATGAAGTCCCCTCAGCTACAAATTGCAGGCAGCAGGGGGTGAAGATTCTAACATTGTAAATGCCAACTGCGTTTTTTAAAAAAAGTTTTATTCTACAAAATAGTTGGAAAAAATGGCAAATACACATTTGTATACACATGTCACTTGGATTTAACAGTGAACATTTGCCAAACTGGCTTTCTATCTTCCTCCATGTATATGTATATGTCTATAGTATATTGGTACAGGTGCATGTATATGTAGTTGTGTATATGAACTTATCTACATCTCTCTGTGTACCTCATTATTAGCAGTAGAAGTGAACCTTATGAAAGGAAGTTGCAGACATGACATTCCTCTCTAAAATTCGGTGTTTATTTCCTATAAATAAGGTCTTTCTCCTGCATAGCATGATATTGTTAAGAAATCTAACACTGAAACAATGATGTGGTTTTAAGTACAATATTTAGAATTCCCCAGTTGTGCCCGTATATCTTTTTATAGCTTTTTTCCTTTTGCTCCAGGATCCATTTCAGGATTTCATATTGTATTTGGTTGTCAGCTCCTTCTATTTTCTTGTTATGTAAAATAGTACTCTTAATGTTATTGTCTTTCATTATGTTTATATTAGTTAGGTGATCAAGTTGCTTGTCTTGTAGAATGCCCACATTATGGATGTGTCTGATTGATCATAGTTAGACTTTAGGTTAGGCATTTTTGGCAAAAAAAAAGAAAGGTACATTGATGATGTGCTTGCCATTGTATTTGTCAGGAGGCTCCATTATTTATGCTGCTAAATTTGATCACTTAATGAAGATAGTGTTTACCAGATCTCCCCTAAGGTTTTCTGTTTTGTTTTGTTTTATGACTGGCTTTGTCGCCCAGGCCAGACTGGGGTGCAGTGGCTTGATCACAGCTCCCTGCAGCATTGACCTTCTGGGCTCATGCCATCCTCCTGCCTCGACCATCTTAGTAGATGGCACTTCAGGTGTGTGCCATCACGGCTGGCTATTTTTCTTTATTTTTTTGTAGAGATAGAGTCTCACTATGTTGCTTAGGTTGGTCTTGAACTCCTGGCCTTAAGTAGTCCTCCTGCTTCGGTCTCCCAAGTTGCAGAGATTACAGATGTAAGCTACTGCACCCATCCTATAAGGGTATCTTGTTCACTTTGTCAATAATAAATTACCTACTTTGATACTTTTCCAATATCCTATTGATCAACGTTTTGCCCAGTGAATTTTAGCATCTATAATGGCCCTTGCTTGAACCAGTTATTACCTTGGTGGTAATTTTGTCATTCTCTCTATATTTATTAGCTGTCATTTTTTGATAAACAACTTTACCTGTTGCCAGTGTGTGCATCTTTAAAAATATATATATGATTAGGTACAAAATAGATTTCATTTTTTTTTTTTTGAGTTGGAGTCTCACTCTGTCACCCAGACTGGAGTGCAGTGGCAAGCTCCCAGCCACCGCAGCCTTGACCTGCTGGGCTCCGGCAGTCCTTCCGCCTCAACCTTTCAAGTAGCTGGAGTTACAGATGTGCGCTGTCATGCCCGGCTAATTTTTTTGTTGTTGTTGTTGATTTATTGTAGAGATGAGGTCTCGCCAAGTTGCCCAGGCGGGTCTTGAATCTGCGGGCTCAGGCAATCCACTCACTTCAGCCTCCCAAAGCGCTGGAATTACAGGCTGAGCCACCGAGCCCAACTAGATTTCATTTTTAATGTCTTATCCACAGCTGTCATTATTTGGGGGTTCATGTTGTCCCAGATTTGGCCAGTGGGTGGTTCCTCAAAATGATTCTTATTTCTCCATCTTGGTCATGGGGCACTTACTTGCTTTCCGGTGGACAATGAAGTTTGGGCACCACAAGCCTGGGCAGTAGGTGTGCCATTACCACTGCAGCATCATTGCTTCTTTCAGCGGGCTTTTCGAAGTCGACATCACTAGCATGATGACGGAGCAAGGCAGGCAGACAAGTACATAGATGTTTATTTAGCTAAATACATGGGTTGCTAGGCCTTCTGTTCAGCCTTAAAACCTCCTATTCCACTTTTCTCACTTCTTCTCACAGTGAGAATCCTGAAAACCAACAACTTCATATATTTACTCGCGTATACTGTCTGAAATATACCTAAAATACTACAACCAACAGCACACCTACTAAGAAAAGTTAAAGATTCGTTTCCAGTATTTTTCTTATATTTGGCACGAAACAATTTTATTTATTTAGGGGATATGCAGTGATATTTTGTTACATGTATACAATGATCAAATCAGGTTAATTAGTAATCTATCATCTCAAACACTTGTCATTTCTTTGTGTTGAACATTAAAAATCATCTCTTCTACTGTTTTTGAGAGTGCACAATAAATTACAGCCAGCCATATTCGCTCACTAGCGCTGTAGAACACCGGAGCTCACTCCTTTGTCTGAATGTAATTTTGTAATTGTTAAGCAGCCTCTTCTCATCTTTTTCTCTCCTCTCCCCTTCCTTCCTCTGATAACCATACTTCTACTCTACTTTCATGAACTCAGTTTTTTTTTTATTCCCCCCATGTGAGTGAGAACATGTGGGATGTATCTCTCCGTGCCTGACTTATTTCTCTTAACATAATTTCCTTCTCATTCATGTCGCCTCAAATGACAGGATTTCTTTTTTTTTTTTTTTTATGGCAGAAGTGTATTCCATTGTATGTATAAAATTGCTGTGTATTATTGCTGTATTTTAATAAATTTAATCTGCAAGCAGTGTATTATAGCCTAGGCCTGAGACTTAGCTATTAGTTGAAATATGCTTGAAACATAGTTGTATCAGGTAAGTGAAAGGAAGGAACATATACTGGGAATATTTTATATTAATAATATTAACATTTTAAATTGACATAGTTTAAAAATATTTGTATGCTTCTTTATGCTGTTTCAAAATATTCATGTGTTCATTTTATTGCATCAGTAGTTAATAATAGCCTGGGCACATGGCGAGACTGTCTACAAAAAATAAAAAAATTTAACTGGCCATGGTGGCACACCCCTGTAGCCCCAACCACTCTGGAGCCTGAGACGGAAGGATCGCCTGAACCTAGGAGGTTGAGGCTACAGTGAGCCATGATTATGCCACTGCTCCAACCTGGGCAACAGAGTGAGACCCTGACTAAAAAATAAATAAAAATAGATTCTAACTCACAACTGAATGTAACTTTGTAATTTGTTTCACTTTGATGTATGGTGCTGAATTTGATTGTCAGATTTATTCTATGAGATATTTCTATTTGACTATGCCTCAGGTTAAATAATTCACTGAAGATCACACACAAGTTAATAAAAGAACCAATATAAAATTCAAACCTCTCTTTGCCTAATCTGGTGGTTTCATAGTACATGATAAGAACAAATGTTTAGCAAGGAACAAGTATGAGAAACTATTATTACTATTTTGCAAGTACTCAACATTTCTCTTAGGAACCAAGACAGACGGGGACAGATTAGTTCTGAGTCTACTAGTGAAATCATTCCTGCATAAACCTAGGGATACTGGAATACAATCTCTGGTAAATCAGAATATTCAGTGGCTGTGATCTACCGTTTAAATATTTTTAGTAGAAATGACAGGAAGGTCTTGCTTTCCTGCACCAAATTGTATTAGACATTTAGTACATTCCGGTGTTGTAACATAGTTTACACTAGAACTGTTTCCTAAGTGTTTTTAAATAGTGTTGATCATGAAATTTCCTGAAATTTACCATCAGGCCAATGGTAGCAGAGTCCACACAGAACTATGCTTCGTGGTGTTCTGGGGAAAACCTTCCGACTCATTGGATACACCATTCAGTATGGCTGCATAGCTCATTGTGCTTTTGAATACGTTGGTGGCGTTGTCATGGTAAGTTTTTACATTTAGGAATATTCACTTAAAATACATGCTTTTTGTCAAATTGAAGGAAGATGTAATTTTCCCTTTATTAAATTTGATGTTATTAGTTGAATGAATAAAATGTGAAAGTTAAAACATAAAATCTTTCTGAATATTGGGAGACAAGAGTGTGTTTGAATTGATTTAAAGTATAAGGACCATTACTTTAAGTATGTTCTGTATCTGTTTCTAACAGGGTCACAAAGGTCCTTTTCAATAGTCTAATAATTATACTTGTTACTATTTATTGAATGCTGTTTACTGTGCTTTAAGATATGTTTGATGTTTTACACATATTAACTCTTAACTCGTTTAATCTTTTATACTCTGTGAGATATTCATTAGAAATGCATTATACATATGAGAAAACAGACTAAGAAAACTTGAGTAACTTACTTGTTCCAGGTCCCATAGTTAATAAGCAGCAAACTTGGAATTTCAACACAGATTTGTCTGATTTTCAAAACTCCTACTCATAACTACCATACTTAACTATAATTAAAACAAATTATTATTCTGCCTAATGTCAATATTAAAATGTTAAAACTGCCTCCCATCCCAAACAAATGTTTATTCTATTTTTTTTTTTTTTTTTTGAGTTGGAGTCTCACTCTGTCGCCCAGACCGGAGTGCAGTAGCCGCTCCCGGCCACCACAGCCTCTATCTGCTGGGCTCCGGCGATCCTTCCACCTCAGCCTTCCAAGTAGCTGGAACTACAGGTGCACGCTACCACGCCTGGCTAGTTTTTGATTTATTGTAGAGATGAGGTCTTGCTAAGTTGGGCGGGCGAGTCTCGAACCTGTGGGCTCAGGCAATCCTCTTGCCTCGGCCTCCCAAAGTGCTGGGATTATAGGCTAAGCCACTGAGCCCGGTCCAAGTGTTTTTTCTTAATAGTTCATTATGAATTTACCAACCATGGCTGTTCAAACCTTTTGTAATATAAATGAAAAAATAAGTGGATTGGCCAATGTTTTTTGTTGTTGTGTATATTACTTTTTTTAAAAATTAAGTTTACCTTAACAGATTGACAGTCATATAACTTCAAGTTGAGATAGAGTAATGTCAATAACTGAATAACTGAAACTCCCCTTCTTGATTTTTGAGTTAAAAACATTGGTACTTCCAGAGATAGCAAACACAAACTTTCATCGTGTTCCATGTTGTTTCTGCCAGATGAGGAAGTTTTGAGCAAAAGGTATTATTTACAAATAAGTAGCATAAATAGAGACTGTTGTATTTTGATTTTTAAAATGGTTATTTATTCCAGGTTTGAGGTACAGGCTGAGAAACTCTTATCTGAAATACCTGAGACCAGAAGTGTTTCCGATTTCGGATTGTTTTGGATTTTGTAATATTTGCATATAAATAATGAGATTTTTTGGGGGTGGTGCCCAAGTCTAAATACAAGATTCGTTTATATTTCATGTATACCTTATACATATAACCTGAAGGTAATTTCACACAATATGAGATCAGGTGTGGAATTTTTCATTGGTGACATCATGAAGGCACTCAAAAAGTTTTGGATTTTAGGGCATTTCAGATTTTAGATTTGAATTTGAGATACTCAGCCTGTATATATCAAGATTATTGTTTTAAGACATACAAATAAGAAAGTATTTAAAGTCCATCTCAGTATGCTATTATTTTTAAGTAGAAAATCTAAGTTGCAGCCCCGTGAGATGAGTAAGCTCTTCTCTTGGAAGAGGAAAGGGGCACCAGCTCACTGAGAATAGTGTAACGCCACTTAGCCATTGTCATCTTGGTTACTGGATGGCGTCTGACGGTAACAAGAGAACGATCATTCACTCATTCGACAGATATATATTGCTTACCAGTTTTCTGTCAAGTCCTATTTTTGACCTTGGTCATAGAGCTGGGAACATGAGAAAAGAGGTACCTGCCCTGGATGGAGCCGACGTTCAGGGTGGCCAGATTTTGGAAACATCAATAATGTTATTTTATTCATGAATTGTAATATAAAATTAAAAACATAAGTCTGTGTCCAGACTTAGTGGCTACTTCAGAGTGAACTTTTATCCAGGAACTGTCGAAAAATTATGAATCAGCCCCAAACTTGAAAACATTTGCTTGATTTTCTTTCTTTTAAGCCTGCTCAGATGATTTATGTTAAATTGAAAGAGGTTTTATATTCAAATTACAGAATTACCTTTCTTTTCAGTGTTCTGGACCATCGATGGAACCTACAATTCAAAATTCAGATATTGTCTTTGCAGAAAATCTTAGTCGACATTTTTATGGTATTCAAAGGTAAATTTCTGTCATGGATATATTAAATTTACAGTGAAAATACTCAGATACCTTATGTGTTTTCTGCAGTTCCCTAACTTTATCTTTAAAAAGTATTTTCCAAATAACTAATAATCAGCTAGATAAAATTTTGGCTCTCTTTTATAATATACATTTAAGCCTACTCTACTTTTTTATTGGGTCCTAGGATGCTTTGAGTTGAGAAATAGGGATTTCGGGACTTCATTACATATTCAGAACAGGTTTTTTTTTTAATTTTTAAAATAATCCTGGAATTCTATTGATAGCTGTCTTAGTCTCTCTATATAGCCTTTGATGACCATTTGAAGAATTTTAGATTACAGCATTGACTGTAGCTGATAACCAGGAATTTTATCTGTTATGATTCTCCTGATTAATTATATTAAGTTGAATAATTCCTTGGCAAATATGTTTGTCGCTAAACCTTTTAAAATCCTATTCCAAAGCATGGTTCCAATTCTTGTGTTACTCTTTATTCTAATGAACTCCGTGAGTATAATCTTTTACAAATGAATGCCACATATTAATAATTTAATATATTTTCTAACAGGCACCTCTCCGATTCCTAAAATTGTGAGTTCGTTTATTTTTTATAATTTTGAAAAAAAAAAATGTATGCCAGCTTTCATCTTGGTAAACTGCAAGTTACAAATCTGACTCCCTCAAGCTGGTATTTCGTTTATGGCATGAAAAGTGGGTTTAGGCACTCCTCATTCATTGTTCTCCTCTGCTATTGCCTGTTTCACATTATTTAAAAATGAAGAGTTGTGTGAAACTGTTCTTTGCATTTGCTGATCTTTCACCAGCCACAGATGCTGCAGATAGAGACTATCTCTTGGCCGAGCTCTATGGGCTAGCATGCCAAAGTACCTTTTAGAGTCAAGGTAGCCAGTTAGTAACGTCTGCTTTAAACATATCACTGTCTTAAGTACTCTCTTTATCTTAGAGTTCTGCCACTAGATTTCAGAGGAATGTCGGACCTGGCAAGAAGTCCTGTTGCTGGCTGCCTGTTTCAAAGTAGCTTTCCATTTATACAAGAATAAAAGTCTGCATGTCTGGTATCTACAACACTGGATGTCGCTTTGGTCTCCTGCACAGAATACTCGTACTCGAGACATTCAGACTTTTACTGCTACTTATTCTTCCAACCAGTAGTGAATGAGCACCTACTATATGAGACGTGCTTTACGTTATAGAGAATGTAAAGATTAATGAGACATTGACTCTTCTTTTCAAAAGCAAACGTCTAATAGAATAACAAGGATGTTTATAACTACAAATAGAACAACTCTAATAAAGTTCCTTTTAAAATTCCACTTGAAAGAGTTAAGAATCTGAGGGATGTGTGTTTTGAGCTAAACTCTGTAGTCTACACTAACATTGCTGGCTGCAAAACAATGACTGAATTATGATTTCTGGATTGCCATTTAAGTGCAGGGTTTGTTTTAAGGGTCATATTGACTGTTTGATCAAATGTAAGCTCCATAAGGAAGTTGTCTCTTCCTCCAAAGCTACCCAAAATCAACTCTGACAGTTTGTCAGTCTTTGCAAATTTGCTTATCTGAACAATGACAGTGACATGGGTTTAGCTGGTGAGAAAAAGAATAGTTTCTCCTATTTTATGTTGCCTCCAAATTATAGAGTGTAATGATTTAATACCTTTCAACTTCCATTAAGAATAGCCTCAAGAAATGATCATTGCTAATGCCATTTCTGCATTTTCTGTAAAATTTCTGATGAAGCACTGGTGGCTTTTATTCCCTTATATAAGAATCCTTATGAATTTCTCTTTGACGTAATTGTTAGGGAAAATTTTTATCATGCCTCCCAAATTAAACTTTATTTTATTAATTAACGATTGCCATGTAACTAATGTTAATTTCTTTTTTTTTGAGTTGAAGTCTCACTCTGTTGCCCAGACTGGAGTGCAGTGGCCACCCCCGGCCACCGCAGCCTTGACCAGCGGGGCTCCGGCGATCCTTCCGCCTCAGCCTTCCAAGTAGCTGGAACTATAGGCGCGCGCTACCACGCCTGGCTAATTTTTGATTTATTGTAGAGATGAGGTCTCGCCAAGTTGCCCAGGTGGGTCTCGAACCCGTGGGCTCAAGCCAGTTTCTTTTGACTTAGCTTTCAAAAAGTTTAGAACTTGTTTTAGTACTGGTATATGGCAGTCATTTGGTAACTGATTTAACCATTGTTTTCCTTTTATTTTTATGGCTTTTATTATTTTGGCATATACATCTTTTACTGTAAGTAACATTGGGTTATTTCTGTAACTAGGCACAAATAGGCAAATATGTTCACTTATTTTAAATGAGTGTGTCAGTCAACAGAATTTCCTTTTTGCTCAAGTTTTGCAGAAAGAGCACTGAGTTCTGTTTCATTAGGGTCATTAGTTCTCCATTCATCTCCTTCATCCTTCCTACTTTTTAAGATCTTTTTTATTACAAAGTAGGTTGTCACTTCTGCCATTAATCATGCCTCGCCTATGTAATCAGACCCATATTGGCTTTATATATTTGATATCGCATTTTATTTTTAGAGTATATGTTTGGACAGCCTATATAAGTCCTCTTGACTACTGTAGCTCATATGGATTATAGAACATACTGTTATTCCTCGGTTATTTGAGCTTACGGAAACACAGGTGATGTTTTTACCTTTTAAGTATGCTCTAGAATCAATCAATGCTACTGGCTGGGCAGCAAAATTTAGTTAGTTAATTGGGTGATATTTATATGGAATTGTGTGTGTTGTTTTGTTTTTTAAAGACAGGGTCTTGCCCTGTTGTTCAGGCTGGAATACAGTGGTACAATTATAGCTCATTGCAGCCTCAAACTCCTGGCCTCAAACGATCCTCTCACCTTAGCGTCCCAAGGCACTGGAATTATAGGCATGAGCCACTGTGCTCGGCCTGTATGGAATTGTTTTTCCATAGTTTTGGTTCTGAAAATTTGGATGCAGAGGTATCACATAGTGGATACAGTGCAAAAAGATAATTACAAAATTATTAGAAAGTTTAGCATCTCCTAAAATTATCAGAAACTTTAGATAGCTTATTGTTGGATGCTGACCCATAGAAGTCTGTCACAAAGGTTGTCAAAGCTGGTGAATGTGTGGGAGGGGCAGCATCTGAGAGGGCAGGGGTGTGGCTTGTTTAACTTGCCTTATAAAAGTATCAAAGCAGTACCGTGCATGTTGTTTATACTTAATAAATAACACTGATGTTTCCTTAACTTTTTCCCCCTCAGAGGTGACATTGTGATTGCAAAAAACCCAAGTGATCCAAAATCCAATATTTGTAAAAGAGTAGTTGGCTTGGAAGGAGACAGAATCCTCACTGCCTGTCCATCAGATTTTTTTAAAAGCCATCATTATGTAAGTAACATTTCGATTACATTATTCATTGATATCATAGTTGATTAACATTAACTGAACATACTGACAAAAGAAAATAACTTTTATTCATATTTTAAAGGTAAGAAAAAATCCTGCATCCATTAGAATTTAAGTATCTTTATCCCAAGAACAATTTGACCATTATAGTTTATGTATTTTAGTTTTTTAAAAACCTATATAAACATCTTGTAATAATTGTTATAGGCAGGATTCACCAGTGGATACTAAAATTATTGAACGAAAGTTTGAGAAGAGATAGGCTATTATCATAGTCTCAAAGTCTCTATCCCAAGGTATTTATTACAAAGGGAAAGATCTTACAGGAGAAACCTGTCAGGCGCCACCTTTACCCAGTGACCCAGGTGAACACCAGTAACAAGATAACATAGCCTTATAATAAGATAATATAACAACATAATGTAGCCTCCAAACTGAAGCACCAAGGAGGGCACCTGCAAAAACAGAAAGTCCAACCTCAGTCTAATTGTAAGAAACCATAAGACAGACCTCAAATGAGGATCGTTCTTACAATATCGTTGACCGCTGTTTTCGAGATGCCAAGGTCATGGAAAACAAGACTGAGGAACTGTCACTGATCGGAGCAGACTAAGGAGACATGACGACTAAATGCATCTAGGATCTTGACTAGTTGGTGGAAAAGCTGACAGAATCGATGTCTACAATTTGGCTGTTGAAAAATCCCATTTAAATGTTTAGAACAGAGATGACTGCAGGGTCAGTCACCTGCACGGATGGAGATGTGCAGGACCAGCAGGCTGGGAGGGGAAGAACAGCCGCACCGAGCTGCTTTCTTCCCGGTCACATGGCTGTGTGACAAAGTGTATGGAGGGTGGCTGTTTCCTCTGCATATACCCTTATTGTAATCATCACAGCCCAAGCCCCTCCTTCAAATTTTTTGTGTCATTCAGATGATTAATTGATTAATGTCCGTTAACTGACTTTACCTCTGTATTTCTCCCCAATGTAAACATGTAACTGAAGAATTGTCTTTGTCATGATAAATTTACTTTAAGTCATAATAGCCTCTGATTGCCTTATACGTAATTTTGATCAATAGACTGTTGAATAATCAATCTGTTATCTATTTACCATCCATAACAGACTATGGTTCAGCTGTGCACATGTACTTGGTGTTTATTACTACAAGGCTAAACACACAATCATTGTTAGCTGATGATGATAATCCTGTTAGTGTGATAACATGATGTTGTGATGTCAAGTAACCTACTTTTTCTACCGTGGCCTTCATCATGGATACTGTAACCTTCTTAAAATGTTAGATTTGTCATATAGTTTCACTTTCATGTAACTATTTATCATTTCTTTTTTTTTTTTCTTTTTTTTTTTTTTTGAGGTGGAGTCTCATTCTGTCGCCCAGACTGGAGTGCAGTGGCTTGCTCCCGGCCACCGCAGCCTTGACCTACTGGGCTCCAGTGATCCTTCCGCCTCAGCCTTCCGAGTAGCCGGAATTACAGGCGCGCACTACCACGCCCAGCTAATTTTTTTGATTTATTGTAGAGATGATGTCTCGCCAAGTTGCCCAGGTGGGTCTCGAACCCGCGGGCTCAGGCAATCTAGCCTCCCAAAGGCGCAGGATTACAGGCTGAGCCACCGAGTCATTTCATGAGCTCTTTTAGTCACTTGTAACTTGCTTTAGCAACGAGTATATACTTGAGACCGAAATAGTTTTATCAACAGAATAATTAGCACCCTCTATCTCAGTACATAAATACCATGTCATTGTTGACTTTTCAAGAGTTATTAGAGGAGGACTATCAGTACAAAAGGATTTAGATAAAGTCCCTGTTGAGTAATCAGAGAAGATAAACCAGAGGACTGGGAAATGTAAATTTTTTTAAATGTTGTATTTAAGGAAAATACTCACTGAGTTTTGTTTTTAATTGACACTAATAATTGTATATATTTATGGGGCCCAGTATGATATCTTGATAGATGTATATATTGTGTAAAAATCAAGTGAAAGTATTAAATCCATCACCTCATACATTTATTATTTCTTTGTGATGAGAATATTGGATCTCTTTGAGCTATTTTGAAATATACAGTACAATATTGTTACCATAGTCATCCTCCTGTTACTGAGTTTTTATAGGTTTCATGAATGGACAAATTAGAGGGCACTGCCATTTTGTTCCAAGATATATTCCATGGGCATGTTTATCCTGGCCAAACTTGTGTACTGGCCAATACTTAAAACTCTTTACAAGGCTTAACTTATTTAATGGTCACAACAGCAGCCCAGTGAGGCGGTAACAGTACTCTTTACTGATAAGGAACTAAACAGGAAGGTTAAATAAATCGCCCAGTTTCCAACAGTGAGAGGAAGAGTTGGGATTGAAGTGCGTCCTCTTCACCATGATGCTACTACTCCCAGAATGCCCTCTAATCATCTCTGTTCTCATCTCATCAAATCGTGCTTTCCTAAAAACGTATTTGTCTTTATCATTTAAAAAAGAAAGGGAACACTTCCTGATCAGGCAGTATGGGTTCTGAAAGAGAAGCCAGTGTTTTTGAGGCCTTCTCCCTTGCCAGTTTTTCTGGGCTGGGTGATTCCAGCCATAAGAATTGTGTAGCTGTTACAGAACCACGTTAGCAAATGTGTTCCATTAATCAAGGTGACTCATGACGAAAGTTCATCCAAGTCTGGAGCTCTCTGAAAAGATAACCCTGTGCTGTGTGCAGGGTCTGCCCCTCTGGAGTGTGCTGTTTCAGCTATCTTGAAAATGCACTGGTACTGTACTTTATGAAATGGGTTTCTTCCCCTTACCTGTGCACCCTCTTAGAGAAATCATTGTTGTTTATAAGATGAAGACATTCCCATTCATATCTTGATTAAGCTGCATAGTAAAGATGAATGATATTACATATATTTTTAATTTCGGATGAAAATATTTGTTCTTGTATATAGGTACTTCAGAAAGCAAAACTGTTATTTGGAACCCAGATGGTAGAGTTTAGCATATGAAAGAAATAGCATTGTTTGTAGGCTGGCAAAAGAGAATATAAACAGATCATTGGTTAAGTCATGTGGAATCGTTTTTCTCATTCCAGAGTTCTGAAAGTCCATGTGGCAAGCAACACTCATGAACCACATTAAATATTGGAAACTAAGTGTTCCCTATTCTTAATTTGAAAGTACTGAGGCCAGTCATTCTTTTCTGGGGTTATGAACTGAGCACTGGCTACAGTAAGGATATGAGCGTAATTTGTGGTTCTCAAAAGAGATTGTTAATGAGCTCAAACAACTTGCGTACCTCAGCTTTCTATATATACTCCAGGAATCCCTCAGTTGCTACTGGAAGTCACTACTTTATCAGAAGGGAATTTAGTTGGAAGGAGGAGCATGTAGCAAATGAGAAATAAACAAAATGAACCGGCATCCTGCTATTGTGCTGTTGGTTTGCACAGTAGGTGAGATGCAAAGTAAAACTCAAGTTAGTCTCCATTCCCCTAGGGAATAAATGGCCAGGGCTCAGGAGATCCAGTACCATTTTGTTTTAACGCCATAAAGAGAAGACAACGCTTCATAATCTCTATAGGATAATATTGTGTGGTGGTCCAGAGCCGTGGTTTGGATCCACGTATAGCTGGGGTCTAGTGAGGCATTCAGAGCCATCACAAGTTCCTATCTGCTCACCAGGCCTGTTTTAAACGCTCTACTGAACAAACTCCCTTGACTCTGTGTCCCCCTGTAGGAGGGAACTGTGTGTAGTCACTCCACTCTGAGCTTCACAGTGTCTCTGGAACTTACTCCATCTGGGCTTTGGCCTCTGTCACTTCACTGAAACAGTACTAGCCAAAATGCCCAAAGACTTCTCTGTTGTGTGTCCACTGGTCTCCATCCTCATCAGACTTGAGGTGTTAGTATTTGAAATTGCTGCTCTCAAAACCTGGTTTCACTGAGTTTTCAGACACCCATGTCTAGGTTTTCTTCCTCTCTTTCTGACTGTGTCTTCTGAATTTCTTGTTTGGTTCTTCCTCATCTCCACAATTGGAGTGACCTCCAAACACAGGAGTGAACAGGGGTTCGTATTCCAAACTTCTCTTGTTTATATACACTTACGTGCTAGGTGACCTTATCCTGTCTCACAGTTTTAGGCACAGTACCATCTTGCTTACTCTCAAATTTATATCAACTGTAACTTGTTTCCTGGACTCCAGAATCATGTATCTACTTGTCTAATAGCTCCACTTCAATGGATAATGGTCATTGCAAACTCACGATGTCCACAATTAAAACTCTGATCTCTTTTCTTAAACTGACTCGGTAGGGGCACCTCCAGGCTTCTCCTTGTTCGTCCACAGCCTTGGAGCTGATCTTGATCCTCCCCCTCTCGCCCTGCAGCCAGTTCCTCAGCACATCGGGTTCATTGTGCCTCTAAATAGACCAGGTCATGTCTTGCCACTATCACTGCCACTTCCACGAGTTTGCAGGACAGACTCGTCTTCCTTGTCTTGTGGCAGTAAGTTGTGAACCGCTTTCTTTGCCTTACATGCTTCCATCTTCCCCGTTTCTCTGCCCTTCCACTGATACTCTCCACACAGAAGCAGGCGTGATCCTTTTTGATGATGATGCTTTTTAAGAACGATATGTCCCTCTTCTGCTCAGATATCCCAGTGGCTCCCCATCTCACTTACAATAAAGGCCATAGGCCTAACAGACCCTCCAAGACCCTCCAGGATCATTCTTCCTGCTGCCTTTCTGGGAGTGAAAGTCTCATTGGAACACAGTCACACTCATTCATTTACCTGTTGTCTGTGTCTGTTTTCACTAAAATGACAGAGTTGAGTAGTTATGATAGAAAATACAGGGCCTGCAAGGCCTGGACTATTTACTGTCTGGCCCTTTCCAGAAGTGTGCTGACCCCCTGAACTAGAATGTGAGGCTCTTGGTGGCAGGGACTTGTTTTGATCACAGCTGATTCCCCATCATGGAA